GGACCGGCAGAGTTGCAGAAAGCCGGTAATGTAGGAGTGGCTGTTTGGGGTGAGTTGACAGGGGGCTAAGCCCACAAACCTAAGATATTCAAGGAGAAATGGGTGCAACGGGAACCGGAGGCCCATTGAGACTGACAGCACATGTACGGCAAAGCATCCTTCGGGAGCCTGGGAGAGGAGGTCGTTAGGCCACGGTTCAATCACGGTGGCCGAAGGGCCCACATGCAACTGGGTGACGTAACACTCGGCCCAGTCAGCCCTCGACTTCAGCGCGAGGGCGACGGTGTTCAACCATGAGTGCCCCTCGGGTATGCCCACGGGTTTCCCACAATCCGCTGCGGGTTGCTTCTTCTTCTGAGGAGCTTTTGACTTCTTCTTTTTCCCGAGGGCTACACTCAGAGGCTCCGGGTCTAAAGACCGGGAGGTACTCGTCTCCCCTGAACCTCGGAGGGGCAAGACAGCAACAGTCACCTCCTGCCGCTCCCTCTCCTCCTCTTCCTCAGCCACTTGGAGTGCGAGGGCCATTTCCTCGTCCGCGGCAACTTGCTCAAACTCTTCAGCCTCTAACTCCACCCGGAGATTGCTTTGTACCTCCTCAGCCACTGCAAGATCGTTGTGGGTCGAAGACTGCTCACTTAGTGACTCAGTGTCAGAGGTGCTCTCTACTGCAACCGAGGGCTCCCTCGAATGATTTTGGGAATCGCTTGCAGATGACATCTTTCGGTGTCGGAAGAGTAGAGGTAAAAAAAAAGGGGGAGGCTAAGAATTTCCTAGTGAGGCACTAACACTTAATCTAAGGACAATAAAGCAAAGTATGCTGGAAAAGTCGGAGAACAGTGAAAGAACTGACCTCGAAGCTTGGGGTTTGATCAAATAAAACTTTCTCTCTCTAGAAAACAAAAGGGCAGAGCTTCGCTTCACAATGAACGCACAAGGAAAATGACTCCGGCTTTGGGGTATTTATAGGCTCAGGGCCTCGATATGTGGGCCTCGATTTGAAAAGCCCATCATTACGGGCCGCCGGTTCAGCCAATGGGTGACCCCCGCCCACCGTCAGCCAACGAGGACACGCCACGTCAACCCCTCTCCCAACAGCTATATTACAACGACTATATTTCACCAACACCGGAGTTCCCTCGAATGATGGCCTCCAGCCATCACCCACCGCGGCCCTCAGACAACGAATTCCACCAAACGCCTTCGAGCTTGCGGCAGCGTCAGCCCCCGGCTTGTAAATATTGTCACCCCTCGGGTTTGTATCAACACATCATAACTCCTTCAGCCCGAACTAGCCTTCGGCCCAAAGGAGTGGGGGACTGGGATACACCCCTCGGGTACATACTTCAACACCCCCTTCGGCAGAGGTAGAGTATCAAAATTTTTTTTCCCAAGTCACTTGCGGAAATGAAGCAGCCCTCATCACAACACATGCAGGCAATACACCTATGCTTTCCCCAGAAAACTCTCGACATGTGAGGGACTGAGGGGGGCCCCTAGCGAACATGCGAAGGTTACGAACACCTTCCCTCAGAAAACCCTCGACATGTGAGGGACTGAGGGAAGCCTTCGGCAAATTAGCAGAAAAAAGTTCCCCAGCAAAGGCACCCATCGAGATGATGGAGCCTCCAGAAGAATCAACACATCTACTCCTTTTCCCTCAAGTACCTTTCGGAAAAAGGAGTGAGGGACTCCTGATGGAGTATATGGCCCAGGAACCCCCGGCCCATAGACTCCTACTTCTCCTACACAAGTCCATTGAGCCCAGAGAACATCTCAGGCCCAAATGCAACGGCCCAAGCCTCAAAGTAGCCCAGAATACACACTGGGGTGCCTTCGGCCTCCTTGGCCGAAGGCTCCAAAACTCACAGGATAGCCTTCTCTGGCATAAGAAGCTGCTGGGAGGAAACGGGCGAAGACATGAGCCTTCGGCATTCTCATGCCCTCGGCATCAGGGGAAGCCTTCGGCTGAACCAAGCCTTCGGCTACACAAGGAGCCCTCAGCTGCACAAGGGGCCCTCGGCTGCACAAGGGGCCCTCGGCTACACAAGGAGCCTTCGGCTGAACAGGCTCAATCATCGAAGATTCCTTTTAGAGACAACCAACCACCGCATTTAATGCCACGTCACATCCGCCAACCGCATTCAATGCGGTTGACGTACCACTGCCGGTGCCACCAGGCTGATGTGACCCTTCGGCCGTTGGATTACTGACACGTGTCCTCTCATCGCATTTATTGCTGCTATAAATAGCAGCCCATTTCTCCTTGTAAATCATCATCTACATCTCAACTACACACGCTGAGTTCATTTAATAAAATCGACTCTCTCTCCTCCTATTTGCTCTGACTTCTCTCTAGTTATTCCCGCAATAACCCCTCGGATAAGATACCCCCCGGGTAGACTATCCATCATATATATATATATATATATATATATATATATATATATATATATATATATATATATATATATATATATATATATATATATATATGTATATATATATATATAATACGTACGAACTGTTTTATACTACATCCGTCCCAAATTGATTTGCAAAAATGACTTTTTTAGTCAAACAATTTGATTTTATTCACTTAATTTGGATGTCAATTTTTAATTATATTTAACTTGGAGTTTGCAACTTTGAATATATTTTAATGTAATTCATTAATATGTAAATTTTAATTATTAAAAATTGAATGATGTATCAATATGGAGTATTTAACTTTAACATTGGTTGACCAAAAAATCTTGACTTTGTAAATCAATTTGGGACGGAGGGAATGTCACTTTGCTTTCGAACCAATTGTTCTTCTACAACATTTTCTATCGTGCGATTTTTATATTCAAAATATCCTGCTTTGATTTTAATATACTACGTAGATTTTTTTAGGGATATTACCCGAAATAGGACTAAAAAGGTTTCAAAATTCCAAAATAGGACTGACATGTTTTTATTCCCAAAATATGACTAATTACTGTCATGTTTTGGCAGTACCAGACTTCAAACATGACAGTGTTTTCCAAACTTGCCAGTAATTACTCCTATTTTGGAATAAAAAGCATGACAGTCCTATTTTGGAATTTTCAAACTGTTTTAGTCCTATTTTGGGAACTTTCCCATTTTTTATTAAAAGTTTAGATGTTTGCAATTTTTGTTGTAATTGTATTTTAATTGTGTTTAAATATATCGGTTCGATTTTTCTTCGGGTTCAACCCGAACCCGACCCGAGGTTCTTAAAACCCGGACCAACCCGAAAATATTGGTCCTCTAATCGGGCCAAAAAATGTAGAACCCGAAGCTTTTTCAGTTTTTTTACGGTCCTAGCAAAAACCTGACCCAATCCCACCCCTAATGGTATGGATAGTGAAGGGCAAAATGGTGTCTTGGCGTTTGGGATGGGGAGACGAGGTGGCAATGGAAGTGACGAGTTCACAAACTAATTTTATAGTCTGTAGGGTATGTTTAAACGCATGTGGATATGTTTGGAATTTGACCTCCTATTATGGCTTTCCTTAGACCAACTGGCGAAGAGATTCTTGGCGTTTACTGTGAGCGCTTGCGGAGAGGAGTACACTACCTTGGATGATAATTGGCAACTTTAATGACACCATGTATGCTTCTGAGATATTAAAGGCACATGATTGACCGGAGAATCCAGGAGAATAGTACTTAATACTTCCCCAAACAGCAAGTTGACAAGAATGTGGGAAATAACCGGTCAAGTCTATAGGACATGCATTTAATGAAGATGTTTTCTACACTGCAACGTGAACACCTCTACCAGTATAAAAGATACACTTAGAAGGATTGGGCGAAAAAACAAACATTTGAATATCATCTAGCAAATCCTTGAGAGCAAAAATCTACTTGCTCAACACAAGAATTCTTATAAGAGTTTGGAAGAAAATATTTCAAATTCTTCAAAACCATCTCTCAAGTCCGTCCTAGTTCTTCGACCTCTTCGAAAGCTTCATCTATACATCTAACACAAAGTACGTTGGACAAACCCTTTGAACCTATTCAAAGTTATCTTCTTGTTAAAGGAACAAGTTGTTTCTTGAACTACTATAAACACCTTGGTGTCATTTACTTACTGCTTTTACTTCCTGCACTTAGGATCTTAACTGTCTCACTCAAAAGAGCTTGGAATATGTGGTCAGCAAATCTTGCTCTTAGGGTTAACAGTAAGGCATTTCTGCTTTAGTGTGGTTCTGTGAGGCAACCCGACCAAAATACCATTCCGCTGCAGGTCTGTTCTGCTAAGAACTAGACCAACTATGTGAAAGGGTGTTCTATCTTGCGAGAAATTTATAAATCAGAAAAGTTTACTCACCCCTCCCTCTAGATTGTTTCTCTGTTTATCTGGGACCAACATATTTTGAATCTCAACAGGTTTGAAGGAGTAACATTAGAAGGAGAGCTGGCAATGGTAGTCATATACAGGTATGGACAAATTTTTTGTTGTCGAGATCAAGTTCCGTTCGGGTGCAATCGGCTAAACCGGTAGGGGTTAAGGATTTGAATGTTGAAGCGTTATGGGATATTATTGGGAAGAAGTGGAATGAAGAACGAGTGACCTCTATCTTCAATAAGGAGGAGGGCACAAAAAAATGAATTGTCTGTGTACACAGGCATTTGACATCAAGTCCTGCCACTTTTTAAATGAATTGTTTGTGTACACAAGCAACTAGAGGAGTTTTGTATACAATTTGTGTACAACTTGTGTATACTAAGCATTTTCCTTTTTAAAAACCTAGACGTTTGGAACCGATACCAAAAAAACTGGGCCCGGGCCAATAACCAAACAGTACCAGGTCAGTCTCAGAGCAGGCCACCCAAGACCAACCAGTCCAACCTCCTACTACGTAGTATTAACTATTTTGAGGTGACATACTTGTCCGGTTGTCCCAAATGATTTCCAACCTATCAACCTTAAAATTGAGGTGACATAGTTGTCCCAAATGATTTCCATCCTATCAACCTGAAAATTGTCCGCTGAATCTTACCTAGTATATTAATGCGTTTCATATGGTTATGGCTTCATGTTGCAAAATTTCATTTACATTGCATTAATAACGTTAAAAAGTTTAACACATTTTCACTACAGCCAAAATAAACTCATGTAATCTTCAAACCCTCCTATAATAACCCCTTAACAGGCATAAACACATTTATATACTCTAACGGGACAGGCCAAGGACAACTCAGGATTCAACTTGTGAACCAGCAGACAGCAACCAAGCCAAGTATTCTGGACCGTGTTCAAGAATAGGATCAGTATCTCTTGGAGGGACAACTCTTTTACTCATCAAAGTCTCCAAAACAGGAAGCTTCCTTTTCCTACCACCTCTTTCCCTTGAACGGAATTGCTCATCAGTCTCTAAAAAGTCTCCCTGTTGATAAAGTAAATTGCACCATATAATATTTAGTATTCTGTATTCACATCACAAAAGTTTTTTTATCAACAATCATATTTAGCTTTTCTATGAAATGAACTTACTTCAGTGCAAACGTGGCATCCAGACTTTTCATGATTATCTCTCACATGCTTGAATGAAAATCTCGCACCACAGCCAGAAATACTGCAGACAAATGGCTTCAGTGATTGGTGAAAAGCTTTGATGTGCTGATTTAGATTTGATCTCTGCATGGAAAATTATTAAAAACAATTATATGTCTGTATTACAAAGATACAAAGCATTATCAAGTTGGGCAAGAGAAATGGCACGAATTAAAACTAGACTACTTACTGTTGCAAATGTATGCTCACAGTCCTTAAAATCACACTTGATTCTCTCTGACGAAGGCTGAGCTTCATGTTTCCGAAGATGGCGCTTTATATTCTTCTTCAGTTGCTTTGTTCCACATGTCTCACAGACAATGTGTTGGTGGGAGGACTGAATGTGTTCTTTAAGGCATTGTTGATTAGTGAAATGTTTTAAGCACCCAGGTTCCGCACAAAATGCTTCAACTGTCTCTAGCATCACTGTAACAAGTAAAAACCATGAGTATATTTTAGTTACATCCTAGGAACTTTTAAAGATAGATCCATTTTGGTAAGGCCTGAAATGGCTAGATTGGCTGAATTATCTTAAAATTGCTGAATTACCTAATAACAATAATATATAAAAAAAAAATAGTGCCAGTTCCAACCAAAGAAGTAACTTATGCAGTATTATTCCATTTCAGCGATTCAGACAGCATAGTGAAATAAGTTTTGATGAAAGAACTAGCTAATAAAGCAAATACGTAAATTAAAGAGTCCACGAATCAGGCACTTAAAAACTTTTGCATTATTTGATAGTATATTCTTTAGTGAGGAGGCTCACCATGAGAATCTTCATGTTTCTTTAATTGGGATGGATACTTGAAAGACTTTCCACAACCAACTTCGGTGCACACATGCTGCTGCTTTGGTGGTTCAGCATCATCACTTGTAGAACACTGGTCATGCATCTCCAGTACATGACGCTTAGCATTACTATTATAACTAAATTTCCGGCCACAACCATCAACTGGACAATTAAACAGCTTGCCCTTATGCTGAAGAAGATGTCTAGTCAGGTGATCCTTTCTTCTGTAGCTAGACTTGCAGTCATCTACCGGGCATGTGAATGGTCTCTATTTGAGAGAAAAAGCAAAAATAACTTAAACTATTGAAAATTCAATCTACAGAGGTGGAAATGGAGGAAAGATAGGGAATGGGGTAGGATCTCTAAGCACACCGGAAAAATACAGCGTGATTCAGGCCCACTTGATGGAGCTTCTCAGGAGGTCCCCCTACCTGGTACTATTCCATTCAAGATCATATGAATGCCTCAGCGCATTTTGGAGTTCATTGTATGGGATCCAATGCTTCACACTTCTGACAATGGATAATCAATTAAACTTTTAAATCTCAATCTGCAAGACCACACACAATACTGACACCCAGATTGTACGAGGTCACAAAACAAAGGGAAATCAATAACAAATATAAATATTTAAAAGTATGAAGCAATATATACGTGTGGATCCAGGTCTGAATAAATATAGCGATAAAAATGCATATCAAAGACTATTTTTTTAAAGAAAAAATGTGTTAATCAAATAGACTATTGGCCTAGCCGATTATTCTATTCACCAAGCTCAAAATCTCAATACATACCTCAAGGGAATGACTTCGCATATGCTGCTTCAAATAAGCATATTTCCTGAAGCTCACGCCGCACTCTTCACACGTGTGAATTTTTGGCAGATTTTCACCCGAATCATCAGATTCGCCTTTCGATTTGAGCTCATCCTAACAAATTTTAGAAACAAAAAAAACATAAATTCCCGCATAATTTGATAGTTTGATAAACCAATAATGCACGCTGATAGACGTACCTGGTGATGGGAAAGGATATGAGAAGTGATGAGCGTTTTCTTGGAACGGAAAATACCACAGAACTCGCAGCAATATCTCCTAATGTCTTTGAAAATCACAGGCCTCTTCTGCTCGACCTCTTCCATTGATCGATTAGATCTCGTTCTGTTTGACTGGTCGGTAAGACGTGAAGAAACAGAGCAGCCGTCCGAGCAGGATCAACGAAGTGGTTGCGAGTATAAATACTAGGGTTCGGATTGCAAATGACAACGGTACCCCTATATAATAGTAAAATCGGGTTGCAAATCCCGTTTGGTAACACTATAATAGTCATTGGGTTAATCCCATTTATGTTATTTTCTCTTTAATCTAATCTATAATGAATTATATTTTATGTTTATTTTTCACAAAATATTGGCCATTTTTTTTGCGTTAACCGGGTTGACCATGACCAAATACTGCTATCATTATTGATCCATGTGATTATTTAGGGAGTGTTTGCAACTGCTTCTGCTTAAAAAAAAGCACTTTTGGAGAAGTAATGAAAAAGTGATTGGTAGTAAAAGTTGATAATGTTTGAGAAAAAAGTGATTTTGAAAAGTAAAAGTTGGTAGTGTTTGGTAAAATAAGTGCTTTTTGTGTAATAGAAAAGGGAAAAGCACTTTTCACACGCAAGCCGAGAAAAAGTAAAAATTGGTAGTGTTTGGTAAATAAGTGCTTTTTAAAGCCAAAAGCTGAGAAGTGCTTTTTTTTAAGCAGTTGCAAACACTCCCTTAGTATTATACGGTTCGTGAATAGTACAATATTATGTACATTTGTGTACAATACGATACAAATATGGCTAAATATACATTTCATCGTTCATGGAATGAATAAAGACACAACGTGTTTAAAACGTTTCACAATTCAAAAATACAGTATATAAGACATGTATTAAACCAAACATTCCAGCTTAGCTTGTTGTGAGATTACCGTGCCTAGTGAGAGATCTCGACTTTGAATCCCGCTAGGCACACAAGAGTTGAAAACTCAATGCAGTGAGTTTCAGTCTTGATTACTCCAGGCTCCACCCCAGCCACCCCTGGAGTAAAAAAAAGACATGTATTATATGTTGTATTTTTAAATTGTGGAAAAGTAGAAAGGAGAATATAACGAGTAGAAAAGGTGGGATTAATTAAGTATTTTTAAAGGAAAAACTTAACAAATAGAGAAAATGTAGTAAACTTTTAAACACGGAATGAGGTATTTTATTTACAAATTTATTTGTATTAATAAAAATGTAATGCGTTACTTTATAAATACATGGGGAGATAACGTGTTGAACAAACAGACAAGTAGCTGAGTTGGTCTATGGTTCGAATCCCCCTGGGTGTGTAAGTTTTTTATCAAAAATTGGGGAGTAAAGGGTCAGTTTGGTCCTCGAAGTTGCAAAAAAGGCGTCAAATAAGTCCTTATATAGAAGATTCTGTCCGGACGTGCCATTTGAGGTGGCTCCCGGTGAAATTTTGTGATAATTTTTTTTGAGCATCTTATACATTAAGTCTAGTTTACTCATACCAAATTTCAGCTAAAAATTCAATCGGGAAGACATTCAAATGAATTCTTGAAGATGATAGCGCTTTTAACGGCACAGTTATCTTCAAGAATTCATTTGAATGTCTTCCCCATTGAATTCTTATCTGAAATTTGGTATGAGTAAACTAGACTTAATAAATAAGATGCTAAAAAAATTTCATTGAAAAATTCCATCGGGAGCCACCTCAAATGGCACGTCCGGACAGAAACTTCTATATAAGGACTTATTTGACCCCTTTTTTGCTACTTTGAGGACCAAACTGACCCTTATCCCAAAAATTGGGTAAGCAGAGAGATTGTGGGTGGCCGTTGGTCTACTTCTCAGTAATGAAGTGTTTGCGATTGGTTGTCTTTTAAAAGTGATTGCTCTAAAAGATTATTGGAAAAATGATTTATAGTAAAAGTAGGTAATGTTTGAAAATAGAAGTGATTTTAGTTACAATGTAAAAGTTGGAGTGTTTGATAAAAAAAATGATTTTTTTGGAGTAAATTGTAGAAGTACAAAATGACCCTTCCATTATGAAATACAAAATTACCCTTCCATTATGAAATACCTATTGCTGCTCCTCTTTCTTAGACCTTTCTTTCCTTTCTGTGTTCGACGAGCTAGCTAGGGTTAAAATCCACAATTCTTCTCTTCTATTCCAAAAATCGACGACGACATACGAAGGATTTTGTGGAGTGTTGAAGATTTCATGAGCAGCGTCCAATTGTACTCCGTATTGGCTAATTGCAATAATCACATGATTTTTAAGTTCAAATGATTTTTAATTTCTTCTCACATGTTCAGGTTATCAAAAATTTGCATCTGAACATTAAGTTCAACAGACAGGGAAGAGGGGCAGATGGCATGGGTATTGTAATCATTTAAAATGCTACATATTAGTGCGAATGAGAGAAAATTAACTGGAACAAAAAATTCTCTACTTAAAAGGAAAAGTCGCAAAATTAGTATGACACCAAAAAAGAAAAGTTGACAAAATTTTAAGGGAAGAAGGAAATACAAAATTTTGAAAGTCCAAGGGAGCGACTGCACCTCCCTAAATCCATCCTTGGCTGTAGTCAACCAATTTGAGAATATTCAACCCTTCAAAACACTCTAGTTTGAGGTGTTTGAAAAAAGATACATTTATGAATGGGTTCAGAAAGGTATGAGTTAACACCCTTAAACCTTTTTTTATTATTAAATAAATAGCACCCTTAAACACTTAGAACCCATTTGGTGGCTCTGTTTTACACCTTATCAGGCTTATCAATCAACTTTTTAACCAAACACGTGATTTTTGATTTCGAGCGCTGGATTCTGTAACAATAAGAAAAAGTAAGGTTGGAGATACTTTTCTGGTTGTATTGTCTGAAGTTACTGTAGATGACTATTTTAGCTATTTTCATATTTTTTTTCTTTGTTTTATTAATAAGATATATTTTAAATATAATTTGTTCATAAATCAGCCATTACAAGCTCTTCAGCCAGAACTTCATAAATTTTGGCCTTGTTTGTCAATTGGCTGTCAGCTGTTAGCTGTTAGATGGTTATGATAGCTGTTTGACAATAACTGGTTATGTTAGCTGTTTTAGTTGGATGATTATGTTAGCTTGTTGCAAGCAATTGTTTGGTAAATTAGCTGATTAAAAATAACGGTTCGAATAGAAAAAGATGTATAAGGACATTAATATTTATTTATTATTTTTAGGTATTGCTTTTAAAAATAAAGTTACGTACAATCAATACTTACCCACTACAAATCATTCATGTTTTCAAAAGTTTTAAAATCTCAAAAATTTACTTACACAATTACCGACTACAAATTTTTTCGCAAATTTACTTACACTGCTACATCACATGCCACTAATATTTCTTAAATTCAATAAATTAATATCACTAGAGGATCAAGTAGAAAATGTATCTTTTCTAGACACCACACAATTACTAAGCTATCTATATCCACCGTTGCTTCCGTCTATGCCATAGCTGTTAAAACAAATTACATCAGGGCCTCCTTGAGCAATTACTACGCTATAGAAATAAAACAAATTACAAAGAAATATAGTGTTTGAAAAAAGAGAACGAAAGCGAAGAAAACAGGAATATATGGGATGAGGTCATGAGGGAGGTGACATGCGTGAAATAGGGGCAGAGAAGGAAGAATGCGGAGAAGCCAATGTGAAACGCTGCCTACCTTGGCGATTTCATTTTCAGCTTTTTGGACCCAATAATCTAATCCAACTAGGGATGTCAAAAAAAACCGACCCGCAATGACCCGCCCTGGCTCGAGACATTTGGGGCGGGTCCGCCCCGCCCCATCTTGCAAATGGGGCGGGTCCGCCCCGCCCCGCCTATACAATGGGGCGGGTCCAGGTATTAGAATTGACCCGTGCCGCCCCGACCCGCCCCGACCCGACCCGCTCAATATCATTAATTGCAGTCAAAGAAGCCAAAGTTTAGCTGATAAGCCATTTTCCAAACAAGGCCTTTAGCAGAATCAGCCGATTAAGCCGATTTCAGTTTTACCAAACGAGCTTTTATTAACACTTCTATGCACTCCGTATATTATTTATTTTTGTTGCAAAAAAAAAAACACTTCTATTTTTTTGTGTGTCTTCCAAACAACACCAACCGACCAAACTATCTAAAAGGATATCCTTCCTTGTATTATTAAAGATTTAGAGCCCGTTTGGGGACCCCCTTTTTTGGCTTATCAGGCTTATCAATCAGCATTTTCATCAAACACGCAACTTTTAATTTTGCGCGCTAAATTTTGTAATAAGCAGAAAAAGTAAGGTTGAAGTTACTTTTCTGGCTGTATTGGCTGAAGTTACTGTAGAAGATCATTTTAGCTATTTTTTCACATAATTTTTTATTTAATTTATTAATAACAAATATTTTAAATATAATTTTTTCATGAATCAGCAGAAACAGCCAATACAGTCACTTTAGCCAAAACTTCATAAATTCCAGCAGAATCAGCCAAAACAGCCAATTTCAAGGCCTGTTTGGTTACAGCCGTAACGGCTGAAATGGCTGAAAGGGCTGAAATTTCTAAAGTGAAAGTGTTTGGTAATATTTCGAATAAAGTGGCTGATTGAAGGAGTGTTTGGGGTTGATTAAAAAAAAGCGCTTGTCAGCTTTTGGCTTAAAAAAGTTGAAATGAGTGTTTTCAAATGATAGCTTCTGCTTAAATTAATCACTTAAAAGCTAAAAGCTGGAAGCAGGTAGAAGGGTGCTTTAAACTGCTTCTCACTTTTTCTATTACACAAAAGTACTTATTTTACCAAACACTACCAACTTTTACTTTTTCAGAATCACTTTTTTTTCTCAAACACTACCAACTTTTACTATTAATCACTTTTCCCAAAATCACTTTAAAAAACCACTTTTTAAAAATTGAAGCAATCGCAAACACTCCCTGAATGTATAATTACCAAAAATGGTATTTGCTCTTTTAAGGTTATACAATTGATATCACTGGAGCATTGAGCCTTTGAAGAAATTCTATAGCAAGATGTCCGGACTCTGGACACAAGGCAGAGGAATTTCTACACCAAGTATTACAATTCACAATTTTTAATTGGGAAAAAATTGAATTATCAATAGGTTAAAAATCAGAATAAAGTTTGATGAGATACTTTGAATGCCAAC